TTATTTTCCCCAGTTAAATGATACCCACTCCAGCTTATGCCAAGGGATTTAGCACTCATTATGATTATTTGTGGATTAGGTTTTTCAGGCTATAAGTGGCCTTTTTAGGTGATATATGACTAATTGCCTAAAATGACTAAATGTTCTAAAATACAGTAACTGAGTAGCCATTAAAGACAAATCCAAACATCTGTAAGAAAATCTCAAATACTTCAAATCAAAGCAGGAACCTAGACCTCAGATGCTTGCACTAGATCAGTCTTACATCCAGAATCCTAACATTTTTTCATTATTTGAGACAGGAGGACATTTGGCAGAAAGTATCTGCCAGCATGCCCAATGATATCCAAACACATCAAGAAGATTCTTACCTAAAGCAAATGCTCTTAGCATATGGATCATGTCTTATTGTATTTCCTAGTTCAGCTAGCAATCTACAGGATCTCTGAATCACTCCATACCTGTTTCTAACCAAAACATAAAGCATGCACTAAAATCTGAATATGATTTATCCTTTACTGGATCTAAAAGCAGTTGAAATAGTTGCACCATTCCTAAAACATCTTACCACTTACCACTCGAGCACCCAAAATAGCCAAATTCTGGGACACGATATTTATTGCAGTGCCATGCCCACAGTTCAACACACAAAACAAAGGCAACAGTAGAAGAAACATAATGTGATGCAAGTGCATCCATATCTTAATTCTTACTTTGTTTTCTTATTTAAAAGCAAAAGGTAAATGCTGAAGGACTACTAATTAAAAATATGACTATTTGCATTTTTCAGTAACATTACAATATGCAAATCCCTCAACTATGATTCACTACAGTTCTAAATATACCTTCTGACAAAACCAGCTACCTCAACTTCTCTTTTTATGCAGCTTATAGAAAAATTTCAGATGTGACCCAGTTATGTCACAACCATTTTCAAATTGTGATCCTTGAAAACTAACTGTATAAAAAAAGTACCCTCTTACTCATCAGATCTACTCCCCGTAGATAGCTAGGGTAAGATCTGCTGACTTGGTTACAAAGATAAAGGCTCTACTACTTATTAAATTTTCTACTAACCTTGCAAAACTAACACTGCTGAGAAGATGAGTGAGCTAAATTCTTTTGCATCTTCAGAGGAAATAATTATTTTACAGCACAGTACAACTCCAGAAGTCCTGAGAACATCATTGGAGATGTTGGGTGTGATCAAATAAAAGCAAAATGAAAAACAAACCAAAACAAATCATTTGTGCCTGCAGAAACATTTTAACAAGTACATTGAATAAGCAGTGAGCTTTGCTTCGTTAGAGATTAAGTTGTCACAGGCTACTGGAATGGAATTAGTTTACATAGCATCCTTCTCCGTATCATGGGCTTGTCATCTTATTTGCCATTTTAACAGGAAACTAAGACATTAGCCTACATTCCCTAACATCTGGCTCTTTGATTTTTTCCTTACTACCTAGTTTGAATACCTCATCTTGATTTCATCATTACACCAGACTCAGAACAAAGCAGAACATCATGCCATGTTGCTGTATTGTCAGTATTATGCATTCAGGCTTCCATAAATCATGAAACTGGCTTAAATGTAAGCAAATGTACATTATGGATGAGGTAAGCTTTTTTGTTAGGGCAGATAGAGGAAACAGTTAACACTTGAGAGACCAACAGCAACAGGCATTTCAGCAATAAAACTTCATCTCACAAGCGAGCTGATCTCAATTTCTCTTCTAAGACTGAAGTTTAAATGAGGCATTGAAAGTATGTAAAACACTTACCAACCATGAATTTAGACTTAGATTTTCCTAATATTGATATCCTTATATTGATACCAACAGTGCAGATATATGACTCACCATCTATTCAGTTCTGTGGCATACCTTTCCCCCAAATCTTCCAAATCATTCTCAGTATGGCAAACCTTATTGATGGCCTATTTCCCAATGCACATGCAGCCATCATACAAACATTGGAAATTACATGGCCTCTCTCTGTTGAATAAAATAGGCCATAAATCACATTGAATTGTGACCTCGGCAGGAGGACTGATGTTCCTATCCCACCGGTTTTGGCTGAGCACAACTGACTTTAATGCAGGTCACGTTAATCTAAGATGTAACAGGACAGCTACAAGCATCAGAAGGTTAGCAGCAGGAGCCTCACATCCACCACCACGATGGCAGATTTGCCTGCTCCGTCAGACAGCTTAGACCAGAAGAGGGCACCTCTGAGACTCTAGAAGGAAACACAAACAACCCTACTGCAAAGCCCGCAGAGATTGGTCCTTTTTTTTTTTTTTCCCCAGAGGTTAGCTTCTTTTAATATGATAAAACCCTCTTAATTTGATAAAGGCAATCAGCGTGATCCTTGTTATCGTTTTACCCTCTGACATGCAGCAACATCATCCAAACTGCCTACAGGCAACAGTCCTAGACCAGCACCGCTTCTCCTCACTTCACGTTGCAGTTATACAAACAACGCATTAGAGCTGCTGCGTGTCCTTTCATGTTTCTTCTGACATCTCAAAGTCATTTGACAGAACTTGAATCATTCACTCCAGAGAGCTTTAGTGGTCAGGTTCCAGAGATGCATTTATAGCACACATTTGTCTTTTTAGATATTGAAAAGTCACCTGTGGAATAAGCTATCCTTTTAAAAACTACTTTTTAAATACGGACTTCTATTTGAAAGAAGGAAGAGTGAGTGAGAGGAGCTCTAATTACCACATGATACTGTAACTCTTGCTTTGGAAATTCCACAACATCTTCAAATAAGCCTTTATGATTAAACCACCTATGGAACGAGGAGAAGCTTTCTCACTGTCTCCTGCAGGCACGCAATTTTCATCCACTACTTTCAGTAATAGTAACCATTTTGCAGCCTTTGGTAGGGTTTGGCCAAAACCCCAAAAATCCTCCTGTTCTCCCAGCTCAGTGTGGCCAGCTCCTGATACTTTGTTAGATACAGGAATTCAACAGCATACACAGCTCTGGAGTCCATGAATGTACTCTGGCACTGCCTGATTACTACCCCTGGGGAGAACATTCTTGCATTATTAGCAATGAGAATAAATTCCCTGGGAAGAATGGATAGGGACAAAAGTCTGGGAAGGTGTTGGCTGTTGAGGGGGGGAAGGACAGCAGTAAAGGACTGTGCTCTAAAAGTTATGACTGGATTTACTTTTTCAAATCTCCACTGATGTGATGCAGACCCTCACACCCATTAAGTGAACTTCAGCTAACATGAACCCTTAAGCCTGATACTCCAGATACATCATGTTTTAAAATCGATTCCTTGGGACCTCCTGTCTTTTTTACATCAAGGTATTCTTCCCTGCTGCAGCAAAAATCTCCTGTTATCTCACTCAGTAGAGACAAGCCAACTCTACTCTAAGCAGCCTGCCATTGCAGATGCTGTTGCGTACTTCCTAGATTTTCCAACAGTTGCTTTTGCATTTTGTCCTTGGAGGAATTCCTAGTCAGAACCTGCCTGGCTGTTCTCTTCCAAAACACAACTTCACACTGTTCTTTAATGATACCGTAGCAGAGAAGTCTCTGCAACAAGAACTTACCTGTTATTAATATGTCAGCATCCCAGCATCCACTCAATATTTTTCTTTTTCTGCTATTTAGTTGCTTCATCTTTTCCAGCTTTTACTGCAAGCATTCTAGACATCCCTGTACTGCCTCTACAGCAAGACTCCAAACAATTGGGGCTCATAATCAAGCCTTGTGAGCAGGCCCCTAAGTCAAACTAAGAGACATTATGCTCGGTTTGAGTTTTGATTCAAAAATTCATCATTCAGTTCCTCAGTAAGCTTAACTACATTCTACAAAATATAATTAATATTGCATTAAAGCAAAGTCAATTGTAATTACCAACACTGCCTTACCAGTTCCAATCTGTACCTCAAAGATAACTATGAGAAACACTGAGCATCCAGGACCTTCCTACAAACAGCACAAGTGTGCTTTTACAGTGCACTGAAAGCGGCCCCTCTGCACCTGGGTGAGCAGGCAAGTCCTACCACGCAAAGCCTGGTAGCAAACAGCTGATTGTAATTGACTTGATAAAATCAATCTGTTTTGATGAATAATCTGCCCCCTGGAGTAACTATTTGCAATCCATACAAAAAATAATTGCACACTTTCTTTTTTGCTTTTTTTTTTTTTTTTGGCATGAAAGCAAGCACTTCTAAGAACTCCTCCAATCAGTGTTTCATAATGAAGTTTCACAAAGCAGCTGTAATGTATGTGTTAAGAAGCATCGATGCTGACGACACCTTAGCAGTGCAAACAAGCTCAGGCAGGGAATTTTGTGCCCTCTCTGCCCCTCGCGCCTATTTTTTTCTGTTTTTCTCAAATGAAGAAAAGCAGGAATACAGCAGCATTTCAAAGGCTTTTATTTCGCTTTTTGGTTAAAATCCAGGTTATACTCGCAGGGTTTAAAGGAAGCTTACGATCAACAAGCGCTTGAGGCTGAGATCTTCTCGGCACTCGCCCGCTGCGCCACACCCGCGCCCAGCAGGCGTACCACACTGAGCCCCTCCCCACAGCAGCAAGGCCGCAGGAGCCGCCCCCGACGCATGCGCACACTGACAGCGCCTTCCCGCCTTACCCCCCGCCGATTCCCAGACGCCGCCACAGGGGTGACCCCTGCAAGGAACATGGCTACTCGCACCACCCCCAACACTCTGCCCACGTGACTTCCTTCAGCCAGAGAAGGCGGGCGCTCACCCAGTCGCCGAGCCTGACCGTTGCCTGTGGCGGAGTTGCACGCAGGGCTAGCAGGAACCCGTTCTCCCTTTTGCACCTCCCCCGTATCCCGAAACGCAACGAGGCGTCCTGCCCGAAGCCGCTCTTTTTCTCCCTCAAACTATCTGCGGCAACAGCCACTTCGGGTTCGCTATCGCTCAGCCCAACCCAGTGCAGGGTCGGAGGAATGTTCCATCCGTAACAAACTGAGGGAGGGGGAGGAAGCGGAAAGCCCGCGCATACCTCAGCGATCCCATTCCAGGAGCGGGGCCGACGCTTCCCTCCCCGCGAGGAATGGTTTCTTCCGCTTCCCGTCGGTAGCGGAGCGCCGGATTCTGGTCGCCCTCACTGCGCATGCGCGGCGGCGCACGCCTCACGTGCTCCTCTGCTAGCGGCGCGCGCGGCGGGGATGGCGGCCCTGCTGAGTTCTGCCGGGCGTCTGCGGGCCCTTTGCGTGCGTTTCCGGCCCCTGCTGCTCTCGCCCGCACCTGCTGCCGCCAGGTGAGGGCTCGCCCTGGCGCTGCGCGATGCCGGCGGCAAGCTGAGGCCTGCGGGCGGCGGGCTGGGGGCAAAGGGCGCGCGGAGATGCTGTGGTGCGGGCCTGCGGCTCGGGGGAGGGGGAGAGGGAACGGGAGGTGTACGGCACTGCGGCTCTTCTCTGCTCCTCGGTGCCCTGACTGCAGAACGGGACTGGATTCGCCTCGAGGTCCCTTCTAACCTAAACCGTTCGGTGGTTCCACAATATTGACAAGAAGAGCTTTTGGCTTTGTGGTTTCTGTGCACCCTAACGGCTGTTGTAACCATCCTTAGTTGCTAAGGAACAGAAGGAAGCACTTTCTGCAGCTTTGACATTCACAAGCTTAGCGTTGTTTTTCATACTTCACAGCACAAGTGTACTGTTACTGTGAACACATCTGCAGGCTTTTCTTAAGTTAGAGGTTACTTCAATGTCAACAGGTTCTCAGAGTGTGTCAGTGGTAGTGAGCTCTGTTCGAGACTCTGAGCTCTGTGGGGCTGTATTCTTGGGTTCCAGTCTGTAAAGTAGCAGGGAGTGGTTGGAGATGCCGAATGACTCCTTGTGATTATAACTGTAGCTATCATAAATCATTTTTGAAAGTAAATTTGTAACGAAATAGAAGTTTAAACTAATCTTCTCCATGGATGTGAATTCTTTCCGTATTTCTCCTGGTGTTTACAAAAGCTGGTAAAAATCCCGAGCAGGTAGGTAGGAAAGGGACCGGATATTCCCCGTCATCCCATTTGCAGACCATTCAGAGGTCAGCTAGTGTCCATGTGACCTATGGAGTGAAGAGGTATAGGCAGCTTGGAACAGCGAGATTTGCTTGTTGTCACTGGAGATGTCTTCAGCAACTCACTGTGCAGCAGAAATGTGAATGGGAGCATGGCATTAGTGTTTGAAAAAAGCATTAGCGTGTAGATCTAGTCAGTGACTGAGCTCAGTGCTAGCTTTTCATTAACTGTGCAAATCAAACAGCAGACAAATTGTTTTGGTGTAAGTCTGAAAGTGGAAAGGCTTCAAACAAATGTGCACAGTGAGTTTTTTGAGTAGACATAGCGACTGTACAAGGAGGTTTTCCTGTCTTGTCAGTATCTTCCTACTGCTCTGCTGATCCCTCTTAATTGATTCTACTTAGTGGAATTCTACCAGCTGGAAATTTTTGCTGCTCTAGATGGATAACGTTGTTCGGTGTAGGACTGGTAAGCTTCACAGCTGTGAAGAAGGGAATAGAGATGTAGAGGAAGTGCTAGGGAGGTGGGCAGGCATAGATGCTGAGACTGGCAGCAGTACCAATGAGTTACTGAGTGGCAAATCATGCATAAACTTTTCCATTTTCTACTTGTGCTGATTGTGTTTTTCTCATCTGGAAGCTAATTTCCTAGATAGCTTGTTGCAGGAAGTGTCGTTCATGGACATTCAGGTACTACTTTTTCACAAGTTATACTCCTGTATATCTCCAGCAATACTTGGAGTCACTTGCAGGATGGTTTGGTGAAACTGTTGAAAACTCTTTCGTTTTCATGCTGTATTATTAAATAATGTGAGAAATGTGCTTGGGCAATAACAAATTCAGGGAAAACAGCAATAGTGTTTATTTCATCCTTCTAAGGTTTCAGTCTAACCTGTGAGTTATATTGTAGCAAAACTGAGAAGTATTTTTTTTTTTACATTCTTTTTGTCCAGTGAATCCTTTCCTCGGGTGATCTTTCACATATATTCTTTGTCTTGCTATCACTTTGATATATGGATTTACTCATTCTAGTGCACAAGTGTTGCCCTAGGACCAGATTTTAAAGTAAAAATAGCATTTACTAGCTGAGATTACATGAACAAGTGTATAATCTTATTATTTGTTTTCCTCAAGTAATTTTTTTTTTTCCTATCTAAGCCCTAAAGTCTGGAAATTGACCTCCTTTGAAGAACTAGTATGATTTGGACACATGGGCATCATTTAGACTTCTCTACTTGTTTAGGTCTCAGGATGTTACCTTGAAGTGAAATGCAGCCCTCTACAGTAAATTTCATGAAGTACTGATGAAACCCTGGTTTTGAGGCATAGGGTAACTGTTATAAGAGTGAATAAGTAGCAAGAAATAGTCCAGTATTTACCCAGGGAATTGAGTAAATAACAAATTATGATTGTTTTATCACTGAACATAATTTTAAGTTAGTTCAGATTCGTATTTGAGGCTCCTATTACAGTGATGACTATAGGAAAGTTGCAAATCTGTTTGTATCTTTAAAGAACTGAAACAGCAGCTACTCACATTCCAGCAGTTTTTCATCATTCTACTCTGAATTTTCCAGAGATTTGCTAGCTACCATCGCCAGTGTACTGTATGTGAGTAGTGGCTGGACTACTTGTTAGGCCCTTGTACTTCTTTAAGACTTATAGGCTGTGTTATTATTTACCCGTTTAGAGCCAGTACAATATGAGCTAGATAGTGGCATAGTGATAGTGGTAATGCAAATAAGGCATCAGATTCTGTATCAGTACTTTAAAGTGCATCTTCATCTTTAGGAGGGTGCAGTAGATAGTCTAAGATTTTAGATTCTTTTCAGATACCTTCTCTTCTGGGAATAGTGAAAGTAAACTGAAGTATGACATTCTGTGACCATTGGGAATGGCCTAAACATGTTGTTGTCCTGAGAATATGGTAGCCAGAGAACAAACTGCACTGCTACTCTGCAGCCTTTACTGACAAAGAAAATTATGTACGGAGTAGCAAAAGTACAGTCCTTACCCTTGCTTGCTAGTTAACATGATTGCAAGCAAGATTGTATCCATGCAGATCTCACTGAAATGCCTGTTGTGAGATCTGAGTCATAGCAGAGAGGCAGACAGATTCTCATCTGTATCATACTCTATAAAATGAAATGTCAAATTGCTTGGGAGGATGTAAACTTAGACACTCCATAATTGCAAATAACTTTTGTCCTGTTTGCTGGATAAGCAGTAGATACACTGTGCTGTGTAGATCAAAGGAAAAAAAAATGTGTATATATATTTGATTCTGTTAACCATGAACACAGGCCTAACAGGAGTGATCATCAATTGAAATTTCATAAAAGCATAGCAAGGGTACCTTCTGCTGTAAGTTGTCTTACCAGAGTGTGCTAGTGAGACTTCATAGCCTGTGGTCAGATTGCTGGTGTTAATAATGGAGTTGTTAGCAGTTGACTTTCTGCTGCAAGTCCAATTTTTATTCTCTGCTTAAGGTTCTGTATATACCTGGCTGTATCCATCTGTCACCCTTTCTGTACTGTTTTTATATTGGCTGTGAAAACCTGTAGATGGAACACCCAGACTACAAGATTGCAATTTGATCTTCTGAATGAGAATTTGAATTAAGGGACAGGTTACAGGGATGGAAGTAATATTGGATGTGCAGAGAATGTAGTACTAAATGCCTTTCCTAAATGTGTTTTTTTTTTTTTTTTTTTTTCCTGCAATTGTTGGTCATGTTTGTTCATTTTGCCGAAGCAGACAGACGACACATTTGGACAGAATGTTGTACTGATGTCAGGTAGTCTTCATGCAGTGACTGAGGGCTCCTGTTGCTCAGCTGCATACTGCCACACCATGGCTGAACCCATGGACTAGATTCCAGGACTGCTGCCTCTTTAACTTCGTGTTGATTTAGCATGAAGTTCTGACAGTAGGTAGATATCCAGTTGTGTTGAGTGGTTGAGGAGCTTTTCCTAGCAAAAGCTGCAGATCGAATCAGAGACAAACTTAGTGTTTCGCTCTAATATTAAACATGAGATTTACCAAGCTCTGTGACATCACTCTCATGCCACTTGAGTATAGCAAGATAAATGAGCAGTGACAAACCAGTACAGCGCGCTTCAGGTCTACATTGTTAACTTTTACTCAAGTTATTTCCATAAGATTACTTTCTGGAACTTAGTTCATAGCTAAGGGAAGAGACATTAAAAGGAGAGCTGGCAGTAGAGAATGCTCTAAAAAAAAAAAACATTTTCAGAATGGGTTTTGAGTTAAAAATATCTTCTGGGGGACTTTATTCTACATATTCTAGATGAGTATGGTAAGACTTGAAGTTACAGCTTGCAGCTGCAAGAAGGTTAGTATTGGGGGAAGGAAGTTGGCTTTTCCACTTCTGGGGGGCTTGTCCCATTCTGAGTGCAAGTGCTCCTTAGTTCTGTTGCCGGGCTGATTTCATTTGCTAGACTGCAAGGAAGAGAGTTTTCTGGCATATTAACAGGCTTAATTAATTGGGTCAGTTAAGCATCTGATGAACTGAGAAACAGTGGTAACGTGGGCAAAGGAAAAGAGGGAACTACTGCTGTTGGTGGTGACTGTATGATGTTGGATCAGTGCAGCTGTCTTCCTGAACTGCATTTTGAGATGTAAAGCTCTAGAGTATTTGTCTTGAAGTGGATGCCCTATTTCTCCACAAAGAAAATGAAAACAATTAGGATCATAGCAAAGTAGAACAAAATCTTTATGTGCAAGTATCTCAAAAGATCTTTGGCCTTGATGTCGCTTCAGTTTAGGATTCTCAGCTGTGAAGCTAGATGTCAGTTTTCATGGCTGTGGAGAACAGAGCTGTTCGCTAATCTCCCTAAAAATCAAACTGTTATGTAGTGTAAATCTTTGTGCTTTTTGCAAGATCTCTGTTCTCTCTTTTTTGTCCAATCCAGAGGAGTTAATAAGAGCGCTATACATCCTTGCAAGGGTTGTTGAGTTGATGTGCTGTAATGAGTTTGTATAGGATTGGGTCATGTAGGTGAGATGGGAGAGCAAACACCTTTTCAAAGAAATCCTAGTTAGATCCAGGGGACCTTGGG